TACCTTCTGGAGAAGACAAAATTACAGGAACAAACACATCAGTGATTGCCAGTGGGGGCTGGGAACAGTGTTGACGGCAGTGGAGCGTCATGATGGAGAGCAGAGGTGGAGGGTGACAGAGCTGGGCCACATCGTGATTGCTATGGTGATTACACCATTGTATGTATTGTCTGTGAAAATCCATAGAATTGTACTCCAGAAAGAGTAAATTTTACCACACGAACATAAAAAGTCAGTAAAAAATTTAATATATGTAAAGACTAAAAATGAAAAGCATTTTCATGTATCAGTTTGGAAAAACTGTTAAAGTTTAAAACTCCATGTTGACAAGAGTTTAAGGAAGCAGACACTTTGAAAACTTCTGGGTCGGAAAAAAATGTGTGCAGTACTTTTCTGGAGAACAGTTTTGCAAAAGCTTTAAAAATTCAATGAACACAGTCATAGACAAACAATTCTATTCCTGAGAATTAGTTAATTTCCATACATCAAAACAAAGATGTATAAAAGGACATAGATTTATGAATGTTTTATATCCATTAAAACACAAAAAGAACCCGCGAGGTATTGTTAAGTATAGTTATAACTGAAGGTAGTAGTGGAAGAGGAAGAAATTTACTTTTTAATTTATACTCTAATGTGTCATTTCCTTCAAATTTTTACCGTGTGATTGTATTTCTTCTATAATTAAAAACCTAAACAGTGGACGTGGATGCAAATTAATATGTGGTGGAATAGGCAGAATGAGTTGTCAGCACTTGGCAAGTTGAAGGATTCCAAATTCTAAGTTAGGACACACTTCTGGAGAACCATAGTCCAGCAATTTGCATTGCACCATCTGTTTTTGCTGCCCCATCCAGTGGAACATGGTGCCTAAAATAGTACCTTTGTTTAATAAGTGTAATTTTATCACTTAAAGCTATGTTCTTTCTGTCACTGTGTCAGCACAACATCGTCCCTTCTGCCGTGTGCTGAAGCTGGCATTCTCCACAATGGGTATTATAATGTCACACTGTGTTTTCCACCCCTAGTTTAGCTCTTAATAACTTTTGGAAGAAAAAAAAAAACCCAAAACCCTGCTGTGTGTTCTCTGTTCTGCATTTGTTTGGACACAGTGCCTACTGAAGTGTGTTCGGGCAAGACAGCAAACACTGTTCAGATCCTCTGTGCTCCATGTCCCGACCACATCAGTCCAGTGCAGAGCCTCCTAGCTGTTGCCTGGACTATTGCAATAGAGTCAAACATGTCTCTGAAAAGTCTCATGTACACCGTCCCCAGCTTACAATGTTTCAACTTACAATTTTTTGACTTTACAGTGGGTTTATCAGGATGTAACCCCACCGAAAGTAAAGGAGTACCTGTACTCCAAAACATCTCTCAAATCGATCTTCACGCAGCACCCAGAAGAGCTTTCTAAAGTTTCCTTACAGTTTCGGTTACTCCGTCCCAAACTCCTTCGGGAGCTTCCTGTTCCTATGAGGCAAGATCTTGTCTCCTTAGGATAACTTGTCCCTGTCTTCTCCAGCCTCATCGGTCATCATTATATGTTCCACCATTTATGCCCTGGTCAGGACACCTTCCTCACTACAAAATGCACCAAGACAAGGTGTGTACTCCGCTATCTTTTCCCTCTTCCAACCACCTTTAGTCCTCATCACCCCCACTCCAGCTTCTACATTCTTTACCAGATGCCTTTCTTGACTCAACTCTCTGAGCTGAGACCCTCCTAATAGTTTATTTCACACCCTGTGCCTTCATCTGTCATGTACTGTCCAAGGCTGGCATCATCTACTCTTGTGCCTGACCTCAGCTACTGTGTGAGCTCCATGGGCAGGTCTTCTCTCTGGTCCAGTTTTCTATCTGTCGTGCATAGCACAGTGCCCAGAAGAGAGTCATTACTTTAAAATTTCTTGCTTAACTGAATAAATGTATAGGTCTATGTAGATGTTCAGCTGCTAGATATTATTAAGATGATGCTTATATGAATCATCCAGTTTCGATCAACAGAAACACAGGTAGCCATTGATTTGCTGATTTCTTTACATACCTATTTCACTTCTTAGATCAAAAAGAAAATGTAAACAAGGAGTTTGGATCAAGATTTTATTTTGTCTAAGGACAATTCAATGATATGTTTCCAGTCAATAAACAATTCATCATCTTTATTCTGTAGCAGTTGTTGTAAAAACTATCATGGGCTTTACCCACCTTCTGGGTGTACCTTCTTGCTTTTATTTTCTGTGACCTGTCTGGGTGACTTTTGGCAGAATTGAATTGAGAGAGGACTCAGATGAAACGACGGACCGATTGGTGTTAGCAATGTCCCAACCCGCCACTGAAGTAAGACAAGCGTGATGAGGGTGGCCAGGCACTTGCTGAATCAAAGGTCCTCTTTGTCAGAGGACAAAGATGACCTGGGGTCTGTATGTGCAGATGGAAATGACAAGGTCCCTGCCTTTAAAAAAAAAAAAAAAATCCAAAAGATCAGAGAATTGAGGAACTGTTCAGACTGAGATCGTCCCTCTCTGATGTCTGGCTGGCCAGATCAGAGAAGTAATAATCTGTCTATGTGCCAGACTGGGACCGTGGAGTGGGCACTTCCCATGTACTGCCCCAATCTTGATGTTACTTTCCTTGTTCAATGGAGGAGTACATTGAAGCGCAGGGATGTTAGAAAGTTGCTCGAGGAACTAGTGCAAGAGCCATTCTCAAACTCAGCCCTGATGGCTACAAATTAATGTCACAAGTCCCTCACCTGTCGGATCAGAGGGTATCAGACAGATATCAGTGGAGGGGGCAGGCTGGGGGGGTGTGTAGGAGTGGCAGGGAGAGAGTGCTGGCACACTGCAGAGAGGAAAAGTATGAACTAATTTAACGCTGCTCCCTTTCTTTAGATCAGGATGCAGCCACTTTTCAGAAAGTGACACATCTTGTTCTCCTTTTGGGGAAGGAGGGTGGATGTGGTATGAAGCCCACATCCCCACCCACCACGCCTCCATTTGAGTGCAGGTGGCCCGGGACCTATCCTGTGCTGGCTCCGCTCCCATTGTGTTCTGTTGCAAAGCCCAGTGCAACTCTCTCTTGCATTTCCTCAAAAGGTGCATGGCAGCTCCTGCTCCACAAGGAATAAGGAAGGCCTCATGCACTCTGTCTTTGCCTGTCACTGCCCAAGAGCCAAGACTCTCCCCTAAGGTCCTCACCCAGGACGGTACACTTAGCGTGCTGCCCAAAACCACAGAGTAAATGCAGCACACTATGCTTCTGCTCAGCGATTTCTCTTTCAGTGTTTCCTAGACTGTCCCTGTGTTTATCTCATGGAACAGCAGAATGTTCTATAGAGCTGAGAGGTGACAGGGAGGCTGATGTCAGGGGTCAGAGTTTCCTAAACTCACTGAATATTGTGATGATCCATGCATCTTTTTTATAATGAACTATTTCTGGTCTGCTTAAAATAAGGAGGTCCCATTATTAAGGCCCCTTTGGCACCACTGGATTTCTCCCTAAATGATTTATAAAGGTTTGTCTTTAAAACAGTACACAGTCCATGCGGTGTGGTTCAGTTAGCCAAACACACCAGCAACAGCCCAGAGGTTCCACAGCTCCGCGTGCCTGCAGGCCCTCACAGTCAAGCAGCTGCTGGTGGTGGTTGTGGAACTCTATCGCACTAACCAGTGTTTGCTGACAGCAGCCCCCCACTTTTACAAGGCCCCTTCTAATTTACAAAAGGCCTTTCTTTACCTGTATAGATTTTTGTTTAATTGTCACGAAAACCCGGTGGAGTAGATATTAAGGTGCACCTTTTCACAATGGGCAAAGGGAGGTTCCAGGTGACTAAGGCCCCCGGCAGGGTGTACAGTCAATAAACAGATGAGAGACACTCGTTCTTCCCTCCTACACGGGACTCTGATTTCATTCTCAGGGCCAGCACTGAGGGGTGGCAGGTGATACACTTAATGTGAAGGCCGCCACTACCCGTCATTCTGCTAAGATTTGTACACAGTGTTTCACGGCACAGAGGGCGCTACCCAGGAAGACAGGGAGGAAACACAGCAAACTCTAGAGGCTCCTTCCAGGTTTACAGAAGCCCACAGTCCATCTCCCCTCCCAGACATCAGTCTCCATGTGAATGCATCTTTTGTGTGTATATAAACACTGATATGTTTACTTACATAAAAGGCAAGAAAAAAGACTTAAAAGCCTATTATTAATAAAGTGAAAACATGCCATAACTACCAAGCTCATTACACAGCTATGCTGGCCTTGGCAGCCTGCTGAGCCCAAGAGGCGATGTCATCTTTTTATTACTTAGTATTTTTACTATTAACGGCATCTATTCTCATCCTTTTCTGTCACCCTGCAACTATGAGAAGTGAAGCCGGCTGGGCTTCTGCCTCAGGTGGGGACTTGGAGAACTTTTCTGCCTAGCTAAAGCATTGTAAACACACCAATCAGCGCTCTGTGTCTAGCTAAAGGTTTGTAAACACACCAATCAGCACTCTGTAAAAATGGACCAATCAGCTCTCTGTAAAATGGACCAATCAGCACTCTGTAAAATGGACCAATCTGGGCTCTGTAAAATGGGCCAATCAGCAGGCTGTGGGTGGGGCCAAATAAGGGAATAAAGCTGGCCACCTGAGCCTGTAGGCAGCTTGGTTGGGTTCTATTGTAGGTTGTAGAAGGTTTGTTTTTTAGCTGTGTGCAATAAATGTTACTGGTCATTCATTGAGTGTGCACTATGAGCTGTGATACTCGCTGCGAAGCTGCAAAGGTCTGCAGCTTCGCTCCTGAAGTCAGAAAGACCACAAATCCACCGGGAGGAAGGAGAAAGAAACAACTCTGTATGTGCCATCTTTAAGAGTTGTAACACTCACTGCAGAGGTCTGTGGCTTCACTGCCGAAGTCTGCCAGGCCATTAACCCGCCACAAGGAGGAAACTCCAGACACACTGCAACATGAGAGGAACAAACTCGGTACACACCATCTTTAAAAAGCGTAGCACTGACCTGTGAGGGTCCGCGGCTTCATGCTTGAAGTCAGGGGCCAGTGACGCTAGAACATGCCGGAAGGAACCAATGGTGGGCACAGTTACGTATCAGCACAGAGGGGCCACAACTTTATGGGCATCTGAAGAAAGAATTGCGTATCTCGTCAGTCTCCCCACACGGGAGTCTTTTGAGCTTTTTTTGTGTACATACTAATTAAAGGGATGACTCAGCCTTAACCCAGACTGGAGTTGACTCTCCGTGAGTCCGTTTTCTCATGTCTCATTCTGCCGTGGAAAAGTGAAACACAAGCCACCGTGTGGCCTTTAAACACAACATTGTCTTACTTTCTGTGTCTTGTCGCAGACCTAGGGAGGCGTAAGTAGGCTTGGCGGAGGCACCCAAACCAGAGAGATTCCATTCTGCGTAAGGGCTGGGTAAAATGAGGCTGAGGCGTGCTGGGCAGCATTACCACGAGGGTAGTAGGCATTATGTAAGTCGGGGGATGAGGTGGGAGCCTAGTACAAAATACAGGTCACACAGACCTTGCTGATAAAATAGAAAGCAGTAAAGAAGCTGGCCAAAACCCAGCAAAAGCAAGATGGCAATGAAAGTCACCGCTAGTTCTTACTGGTTATTACAGTAGTTACAATGCATTGGAATGCTAAAAGACACTCCCATCAAAGCCATGACAGCTGACAGGTACCATGGCAGCATCTAGAAGTTACCCTATGTGGTCTAGAAAGGGGAGGAACCCTGGGTTCCTGGAATTTCCCACCCCTTTCCCAGAAAAACTCATGAATAATCTACCCCTTGTTTAACATATAATCCCGAAACAACTCTATACTCAGTTGAGCAGCCCATACCACTGCTCTGCCTGTGGAGTGGCCATTCTTTCATTCGTTTACTTTCTTAATAAACTCGTTGTCACTTTATGGACTCACCCTGAATTCTTTCTTGAAGGTCCAAGAACCCTCTTGGGGTCAAGATCGTGGCTCCTTGCCACTAGCAGGCTGAGGGGCACCCATTGGCATCTGCTCTGAGTTCCTCAGAGAACTAGGAAGAGTCTCACGTGAGAGACCAAGGCTCACCTCCCCCAAGAACAGCCGGGAAAAGGGGAGAAGGAAGGGAGGTCACAGGGTCAGAAGGCCTGGGAGGGCGGCAGGTGAAAGGCGCCGAGCTCTGAGCTCATCTCCTTGTCTCCCTGGGAAAGAAAGAGTGTGGTGTTCCTGGTTCCAGGTGAACATGCGCACCCTGGCGGCGGAGCGGCCCAAGCGCTGGCTGAGGGGCCCGCGACCCCGGCGCGCCGCCCCGGACCCCTGCCGCTCCCACTTCCCGCCGGCAGGGGACGGGATTTCTCTCTGGGACAGCTGGCCCGCGTTTTGATAACACGTCATAACAAGCCGCGGGGTTCAAACCCGGAAGTGCCCAAAGGGACCGAAAGTGTTTCCCGCCCGGATCCCGGTGGGCGGTGGGGTTTCTGCCTTTGGTGTCCCCCACCTGGCAGCTGGCCCTGCTTCTGTGATCCTACTGGGTTGGAACCAGGGATCCAGTAGGCTCGAAGTGGCCTCAGACGAATATTTAGAAGATGTTTCAAAGAAGGTGAAAAGTGGGCTAATGTTTGTAAAACTGGTTAACTGGTGTTCAGGAGACGGAGCCATTTAGTTGTTCGCTATGTGTCTACAGCATCTGTTTGAAGTAAAAGTTTTCAACCATTCTTGGTTTATAAATCAATCAGTTCAATCAAGAGGCCGTCTCCACTTTGCCACACCTGTGGATCCTCTAGTTCTGCTTCTCCACTACCTCATAAAGGCTGATGAGGAGGGGAAGTTTCAGCCCCTCCCTATCAAGTTGTGGTGGATAACGTGTTTGCAAATTGCATCTTGTTGCTGAAACTTCCTGAGCTTGAGAAGTTACTTCACCGTGTGACAGAGGAAAAAGAAATAGACAACAAGAAATATTACAAGTACAGCGAAAAGAAGACATTAAAGTGGCTGGAAGAAAAGGTTAAACTACGGCAGCATTAAAAACCAGTAATGTGAATGTCATTTCCCGGGTACAGTCAACTGCATTTTTCTCTGGTGACCAAGTTTCCGCTGACAAGGAAGAGGATTATATTCTTTATGCCCATGGCCTGATATCTGATTACATCCCTAAAGAATTAAGTAATGACTTATCTAAATACTTAAAGCTTCCAGAACCTTCAGCCTCATTGCCAAATCCTCCATCAAAGCAAATAAGGTTATCAGATGAGCCTGTAGAAGCAAAAGAAGATTACACTAAGTTTAATACTAAGGATTTGAAGACTGAAAAGAAAAATAGCAAAATGACTGCAGCTCAGAAGGCTTTGGCTAAAGCTGACAAGAGTGGAATGAAAAGTATTGATACCTTTTTTTGGTGTAAAAAATTAAAAATGGGAAAGGTTTGAAACTTTGGAAAAAAAAAAAAGAGACAGTGTGACCTGAGGTAGTCAGGACCGAGAGTGGACAAGGGCTGGTTGTCTTCTCTCCAGCTGGGCTGACAGTGGGAAGCATCCCATGGTACAAGGTGAGTTTGGTAAGTAAAACCTTTTGTGTATGTGTCAAAAGATTCATAAGTGCTTGGGACAGAATGATGGAAACAAGATTTAGCAAGACCCCAACCGCCAAAAAAGGTTTAGAGGTTGCAGCTGTAGGGAAACTCATACAGTATGAGTCAAGAGTGAGATAATGTTCCCTCTTTCCCACCCAAATAACTTACGAGACTTTAGGTGGCAGTTTAATTTATCTGTGATGGCTTAATCCACACTGGCCGACAGTAACAGGAAAGCAGCAGCATCCCAGGGCGGAGGCACCGGCCAGGGAGGAGACGGACTTCCCTGGAGCAGCTGAAGGAAACAGGTCTGAGGAGCTCAGGAGCAGAGTCAGGGAACTGGTGCTTCATTCAACCCACATGGGGTTTCCAGCATGATTTGAACTGGCGTTTAAAATTCAGACTGTGTCACATACACATCTAGATTCTGCTTTTTCTCATACTTGTTGCATTTTCCCATGAGACAGCCATTGTGTGCACCCCAGCTGGACCCACCCCCAGCCCCGACCACGGGGACCAGGGCTGCCATTGGTTAACACCTGTCATGAACTTTATACTGAGGCTTTTCTTCTGGTAAGAGAGAGAGTTCTCTGTATCTGTGTCCATTAAAAGCAGCATAATGAGATTTTAAGAGTACGTGAAGAATGTTTTTGTAAGTTTAATGCAAGGAGCAAGTCCATTTCTCTCCTTTATTTGCCTGGATTCTGTAAAATGTCTAAAATCTTGACATCTAAGCCATTTGGCAAAGGAAATAGCTGGAGGATGTAGAATAATTAGCCCAGAAAAGAGAACACCTGGGTACTATAAGAGGTTAGGCTCTAATATATGTAAGATTGTCACAAGGGGGAAATATTGAACTTGACCTGCAGGGCTACATAAACTCAACCACCAGTTGCAAGAGATGTATCTAAAATAGAAAAATACAGAAAGATTGAAAGGTAAAAGCATCTGTGGTCCAATTACTTTTTAAAAAGTAATTTAAAAGATTTAAAAAGGTATTTCATGCAAACACGAAACAAAAGAAAGTGCACCTAATTTAATATCTGTCAAGGAAGATTTTATGGGAAAATATTATGCAAAAAAGTGATATCACATAAGAATAAAAGATCTAATTCATCAGGAAGACCTGTCAATTCTAGATATGAAGGCACCTTATAATACAGTTTCAAACCATTTTAAAATTTTAACAGAATTACAAGAAAAATCACATCTACAATAGTGGGAGACTTTATTCTGCCACTCTATGACTGATAAAACAATTATACCCCCCCCCAAAAAAAAACAACCAGTAAGAATATAAAAGATTTGGACAACAATACAAGTTGAGCATTCCTAGTCCAAAAATCCGTAATCCAAAATGCTGCAATATCTGAAACTTTTTGAGTGCTGACATTGAAGCCACCAAGTAGAAAATTCCACATCTGACCTCACGTGGTGGAGTCAAAAACGCAGGCTATGTGTATAAGCTGTGTACAACACATTGATGAATTTCATGTTTAGACTTGGGTCTCATGCTCAAGATATCTCATTATGTATATGCAAATGTTCCAGAATCTGATGTCTGAAACACTTATGGTCCCAGGTGTTTCAGATAAGAGATACTTAGCCTGTATTAGTAAATATGATTTAATTGACATACATGGAACACTGTAGTCAATAGCTACAGAATACATTCGTTCCAAGCACGCACAGAATATTTAACAAAACTGTCCACTGTACCATAACACAGAGCTCTACTAATTTCATAAAAGTGAAATCATGCAAAATAAGTTTTCTGACCACAATGCAGTTGGACTAAAAATCAATTACATATCAGGAAGGTGTTTAAACTAAAAAGAAAAAAATCAATGACATAGGTAACTTGAAAATTGATATATGGAAATAATTATTCCTCTAAATAAATATATGGGTCAAAGAAGACATCCCAGCAGAATCTAGAAAACAATTTGAAATGAATTTTAAGGATAAAATATATACCAAAGCATAGAGGAAAATTTACAGAATAAAAAAAGATAGAAAATAAATGAGGCTATCACAAGAAACATAAAAGGAATAGCAAATTTAGTAATCTGCCTCCTCCCCAAAAGAAGAAACAAGAAAATAATAGAACAAATGCAGAAATAGATAAATTAGAAAACAAGTGTATGATAGAAAGGATTAAACAATCTAAAGTTTAATTCTTGGAAAAACTTTAAAAATTTAATAAAATTTAATGTGAGACTTATCAAGAAAAACCTAGCAGGAGGGATTTTTAAAAGATCATCACAAAGGTCATTATGATTTTAAAATGAGGGCATCGGGAGGTGGAGGTTGCAGTGAGCGGAGATTGCACCATTGCACTCCAGCCTGGCGACAGAGCTAGATTCCGTCTCAAAAAAGAAAAAATAAATAAATAAAAATTTTAAAAAAATTTAAAAATGAGGGCATCACAAGGATACTGCAAATATCACAGGAGGAAATTATAATAATACTAATGCTAATATATTTGACAATTTAGATTAAATGGACAAACAATAGAAAAATACAACTAATAATAGAAAATGTGGAATCCTATAATTATTAGAGAAATTGAAACTGTAATTATAAACCTTCTCACAAAGAAAACTCCAGGCCCAGCTGGTTTTACCAGTTAATTCTGTCACACATTTAAGGAATAAAAACCACCAATCTTGCTTAATTATTTCATGGACTAGGAAAAAAAAAACATTAAATATCCCACAACCTGTTTTTATGTAAACCAGCATAACTTTCGTTCCAAGAACTGACAAGAAAAAAAAAAAAAAAGAAATTGTAGAAAGGAAAATTACAGGTCCAAATCTGGCATGGACTTAGCTGGAAAAAATATAAACAAAATAATATTAGATATAATCTGAAACTATAGTAAAAGAATAATTCCACACAAACAAGTTTATTTATTCTAAGAGTGCAAGAGTGGTTTAAAGCAAGAGGTTGAATAAAAATCAATCATTTTAATTTACCATATTAACAGAATGAAAGAAAATTTATAGGGTTATTTTAATAGATGAAGAAAAAGTATAATGAAATCTAATACCCATCGTTATAAAATCTGTTACTCCACCGGGAGTGTAATAGAACTTTCTTAATCTGATGAGGAACATTGCTCAGTTTCATTCCATTTGAGATTGGGAATGAGATAAAATATGCCTGCCCTTGCCACTGCTATTCAACAGCATATTGAAGGTTTAACCAATTCATTAAGTCGAGGAATACAAATAGGCCAGGCGCGATATCTCATACCTGTAATCCCAACACTTTGGGAGGCCGAGGCAGGTGGATCGCTTGAGCCCAGGAGTTCAAGACCAACCTGGGCAACATGGCTAAACCCCATCTCTACAAAAAACATGAAAACTAGCCGGGTGTGGTGGTGTGTGCCTGTAATCCCAGCTACTTGGGAGGCTGAGGTGAGAGGATGGCTTGGGCCCTGAAGGTCAAGGTTGCAGTGAGCCAAGATTGCACCACTGCACTCCAGCCTGGGCAACAGAGCAAGACCCTGTCTCGAAAGAAAAAACATGGAAATAAAAATTAGAAGGGTTAAAAAAGAAGAGATGAAAACAGTCATCTTATTTGAAGATGATGTAATTATAATTATATTTGTAGAAAATGTAAACAAATTTACAGATAAATTATTGAATCAATAAGTGAGTTCAGCAACTTTGCTAACATAAGATCAATTTAAAAATCAACTGAAATTCGGTATGTCACCAACATACAATAAAATACATAAAGTAAAA